TTTGGAGTCTCCTGACTTCAGAGACGCTGTGAAGTGGCTTTCAGGTTTTTTTTTCTGGCTTCTACAGCACTAGTTTTCCTGACTTTTGGAGCACTGTGAAATGGTTTTGGAATCTTCTTGCTTTTGGGGCGCTGTGAAGTGGTTTTCGAGAATTTCTTCCCGCGTTTGGAGCACTGGAGAGTAGATTCGAGCACTATGGAGTAAATGAGAACTCTATTGGCAAGTGAAAAGTTGTGGGGTCGCTTTAGAATAATTCTGCTAGCTTCTAAAGAACTGTGGATTTGATCTGAAGTGCCCTGACCTCTGAGGCGTTATGGAGTCACTTTAGAATAAGTATTCTGACCTTTGGAGTGCATTTGGACTCTCCTGGTTTCCAAGGCATTTGAAGTGTATTGAGGAAATCTCTCCAAAATCTAGAACGCTGTTAAGTAGATTTGAGCACTATGAAGTAGATTTGAGTACTCTGGAGTTTTTGGAGCAGGTTATCTAGGGCGTTGTGGAGTCGCCTCAAGATAATTATCCTGACATTTGGTGCGCTGTTGAGGAAATTTGAACTTTCCTGCCTTCTAGAGCGTTATGGAGTCCTCCTGATTTTTGAAGCACTATGAAGTGGATATGCAATCCCTCGACAAATTTTCTTAATACCAACCATACTAGAAAAAAAAACTAGGATTTGATACCGAATGGCCAATTTCGAGACCCATTTTGTCACTCTGGAGTAAATTTGAGCTGGTCTGGTATCTGGGGTAAGATGGAGTTGCCTTAGAATATTTCTCCTGGCATATGGACCAATGTGAATCTGAACGCACCTGGCTTCTGGGTAGCTTCGGATTAACTCACCTCACTTTTGGAGCACTAGGAAATAACTTTGGTATCTCCTGGCGTCTAAGGCGCTGTGAAATGGCTTTGGAGAATTTCTTCTCGCGTCTGGAGCACTGGATTGTAGATTCGAGCACTATGGAGTAAATGTGAGTTCTACTGGCATCTGAAAAGTTGTGGGGTCGCTTTAGAATAATTCTTCTGGCTTCTAAAGAACTATGGAGTTGATCTGAATTGCCCTGACCTCTGAGGCGTTATAGAGTCACTTTAGAATAAGTATTCAGAACTTTGGAATGCATTTGGACTCTCCTGACTTTTAAAACGTTTTGAAGTGTATTGAGGAAATCTTCCCAAAGTCTGGAGCACTGTTAAATACCTACCTAGATTTGAGAACTGTTGAATAGATTTGAGCACTGTGAAGTAAATTTGAGCACTGTGGAGTTTTTTGAGCGGGTATCTGTGGCGTGGTGGAGTCGCCTTAGAATAATTATCCTGACATTTGGTGCGCTGTTAAGGAAATTTAAACTCTCCTGCCTTCTAGGGCGCTATAGAGTCACTATGGAATAGTTCTCCTGATTTTTGGAGCACTATGAAGTGGATTTGCAATCTCTCGACTATCTTAAAGCTTGAGCTTGGTTAATTGAAGCTTGCCAGTTAAATCAACTATGAATTATCTAGAAAATCATCATCTGGCCTTCTCTCCTGGATTTATGTTGGATCCTCTAATCTTCAGTTGAGAAATTGGAAATATTGAAGGCTCTTCATATAATTTTAACTTGAGGTTCGTTTTTACCTCCAATTGGATACCGAATGGCCAATTTCTGGACCCATTTGGTCACTCTGGAGTAAATTTGAGCTGGTCTGGTATCTGGGGCAACAGGAAGTTGCCTTAGAATAATTCCAATGTATGTCTGAACACCCCTAGCTAGGGTTGTTTTGAAATAATCCTCCTTACTTTTGGAGCACTAGAAAATGGCTTTGGTATTTCCTTGCTTCTAAGGCGCTGTGAAGTGGCTTTGAAGAATTTCTTCTCGCGTCTGGAGCACTGAAGAGTAGATTCGGGCACTAGGGTGTGAATGTGAGCTCTACTAGCATCTGAAAAGTTGTGGGGTCGCTTTAGAATAATTATTCTGACCTTTGGAGTGCATTTGGACTCTTCTGGCTTCTAAGGCATTTTGAAGTGTAGGTATTGAGGAAATCTTTCCAAAGTCCAGAGCACTGTAAAGTACCTAGATTTGAGCACTGTGGAGTAGATTTGAGAACTGATGTGAAGTAGATTTGAGCACTGTGGAGTTTTTCGAGCGGGTATCTGGGGCGTTGTAGAGCCGCCCTAGGATAATTATTCCGATATTTGGTGCGCTATTGAGGAATTTTAAACTCTCCTGTCTTCTGGGGCGCTATAGAGTCGCTATGGAATAGTCCTCCTGATTTTTGGAGAACTATGAAGTGGATTTGCAATCTCTCGACTATATTAAAACTTGGGCTTGGTTAATTGAAGCTTTCGAGTTAGAACAACTGTGAATTATCTAAAAAAATCATCATCTTGCCTTCTCTCCAGGATTTATGTTGGATCCTTCAATCATCAGTTGAGAAATTGGAAGTATTGAAGTCTGTCCACATAATTTTAAGTTGAGATTCGTTTTTTCTGTTGAGCTCTCTATTTTTTTCGAAGTTGCAATGCATTTTTTTAATACCGTACCAGAAAAAATACCTATAACCGGATACTTAATGACCAATTTCGGGACCTATTTTGTCACTCAGGAGTAAATTTGAGCTAGTCTGGTATCTGGAGCACCGTGGAGTTGCTTTGGATTAATCTTTCTAGCATATGGACCAATCTGGAGTGAATCTGAACTCCTCTGGTTTGTGGCTTGCTTTGAATTAATTCTCCAGCACTAGGAAATGGCGTTGGAATCTCCTGGCTTCTATGTCTAAGGCACTGTGGAGTGGCTTTGGAGAATTTCTTCTCGCTACTGGAGCACTAGCACTGAAGAGTAGATTCGAGCACTATGGACTATGGAGTGAATGTTAGCTCTATTGGCATCTGGGCCTCTATTCTCGAAATAGCGTCTTTGCTCTGTCTTTGTCAGTGTTATGGAAATATGAATATGGGCGATGGTGACAGAACCTTCGCTCTCAGGAGAATGCTGCTCCCCTGTCATGCGAATAAGGACTGGCTTCTATAACTTTTCCATATGTATTTCAGAGACCTTCATTTTAATTTCAGAAAGCTTCAATTGCAATTAAGATTAGTGTATTTCAGAAAACGTGAATTATATTTCAGAATTTGTCAGATATATTTCGGAAATCATCAGTAGTATTTCTGATAAAATGATATAAGGAACAGATTTTCTCAAATCAACACAAGCAAGGTGTATAGGTGAACCATTATAAATTTAATTTTTTATACTACAACATACATTGATAACATCTGAAATACATTTGACGAATTCTGAAATACAACTTACCAAACTGAAACAAAAATTACGTTTTCTGAACTACAACTGACAAAGTTGAAATAAAAATAACACTTTCTGAAATCAAACTTACACCACTGGAATGCACTTGATGCATTCTGAACTAGAATTGATGAATCTGAAATATAAGTGATACATTCTGAAATACTTATGGAAAAGGTGTAGAGAGCACTGTGGAGTGTATCTGAAGCGCCCTGAGGCTATAGAGTCACTTTTGAATAATTTTCCTGACTTTTGGAGTGTATTTGAACTCTCCTAGGTTCTAAAGTACTGTGAAGTAGATTTGAGAAGTTCTTTTTGGAGTCTAGAGCAATGTAAAGTAGATTCGAGCACTGTAAAGTAGATTTGAGTACTGTGAAGCTGACATTTGGTGCGTTGTTGAAAAAATCTGGATTCTCCTGCCTTCTGGGGCGCTATGGAGTCACTATGGAATAATTATCCTGATTTTTGGAGCACTGTGAATTGGATCTGCAATAACTCGACTACTTATATTAAAGCTCAAGCTTGGTTGATTGATGCTTTCCAGTTTATTAACAACTGGTAAATTATCTAAAAAATCATAATCTTGCCTTTTCTCCGTGATTTTTGTTTCACCCTATAAGATCCAGGTTGGGAAATTGGTAGTATCTTAACATAATTTTAACTGGATGTTTATCCATTCTATTGAGCTTTTTATTTTTTTCCAAAGTAATTGAGGCACAGGCAATAAATTTTCTTAATACCGTACCAGAAAAAAAAACCCTACAACCGGATACCGAATGGCCAATTTCGAGACCCATTTTGTCAAGTTTAATCAGATATTTCCAAGTTCCGACAACTGAAAAGAAATATTTCCTATTGCCCCGGCCCCCGCTCCTCCTCCTCCCGCAAGAACAAACTTCCAAAGAATTGAACAAATAAAGCGAACGTATACACAAAAAACCCCCCCGCCATAAAAATACACAAGCAAAGCAAATTCGCCATGTCATGTCCTATTGGCTAGAAATGGGAAAAAATCTTTCCATTGCCAGCTTATGTGGCGCCTGGATAGAGCCATAGCTCATTCCTCCTCGGCAAAAATAAACTGACTTCTATCATTCAGATGTAGGCCGAAAAAACATACTTTTTAACAAGGTCATCCAGGATCTTCTATCTTTTTTCGCAGCTCGTTCGAGGACTATTTTTCATCCTTTTTTAACTCTATGTAGGGAAACTGGGCTAGCCTGGTTCATTCCCTGGAAATCGATATTTAGACGCCTCTGACGTCAGGGGGGCGACGCGACGTTCTGCGGAATTTTGCGAAAAACGGCGAGCGTCCAGGTGGTGCTCCCTGATTGACATTTGTTCATATAAGGGTGCCGTGTTTATTCTTACTTAAATAAACATTTAAATAACCGTTTAAAGACCGTGCGAACGTGGTTTAATAAACTGTCGATAAAGTTCAAGTAGTGTCGTGTTTAGTCGGTTCGAAATCGGTTTATTTGTGACTGTATTGGACCCGGTGTTTTTAGGATGCAAAGTTTTAATGCGGATTTGCACCATAGTTTTTTATTGACGTAGGACTTTTCTTAAACTTTTTCTAAGATGACCTGAATTGGTTTGTTATATAACTGTATACAATGTTTCGGGACTGTATTTGTGTAATTTAAATGTACCGGGGTGAAACTAACCTACCTTAGGTGATGTTTTCGGGACCAGTATGGGGTGCCATGGTCTACTAAGGCCATGACATCAAGGCTACCCCCTACCATTGTCGACGAGCAGGAGATACTCCACCCTCACCACCGTGTACAGGTAGGAATTTGTGTGTTTTATTGTACTAATTGAGGATTTCCTCCAACATGTACCGGTGATCTTTGATTTTGTGTTTTTGTTTGATGATGATTACCACTGAGAAAATGAAAATTTTTGAACATTCGAGAAATGATTGATTGCATATCCAATAGCATATTTCAAACCCAATATCAGTTCTAAATGTGTAACTGGGGGAGGGGGATGATTTAGAGCCTATTTAGTGAAGATTGATAGGGTTTTTACAAAACTTTGAGAATTTAAATTTAGTCAACTCTAAAATATCTTCCAGATCTGATTTGAAGCAACTTCCTAGTGTTCACCATTTAAAACTAACTCAACTCTAAATACGAATTTATCCATAATCCATCAAAACTTGGGTTGTGTTTTTATCGAGGTTTTTATAGTTTTTGGAGTGAATAATACTTGAACATTTTAACTTCCAGGTTTTTTTGATTTTTAATTGAATTTTCTCAGTTTGAAGCTTCCTGGTATTTCCTCCACTTTCCGTTTTGGCGAAGATTCAATTTTTGGCTCCATAAAATAATCAAATTCGATACTTATCGTCATCTCATAAATATTATCAGTTTCTTTTGTTTATTATGGAATTTAGTAGGTTTAGTTTCTGAATAGCAGCTTCACTTTTCAACCTTTCGTTCGATTTTATAATGCTCTAGTATTCTGAGCAGACTTTACTTCAGCGATGTTATACAGTATGTCCAAGATAAGGATGGAATAGCATTAGGATATACAGGGTGATTCCAGAACAGTTTTGAAAAAATTGGGAAATTATGAAGTTGATTTTCCAACTTTACTCTTTCATATCGCCAAGATTGGTCGAGGAGTACTTTTTTCACTATTTCCCTGAAGGATCCCCTGCGACGTGGTGGAGAGCAAAGATTTTATACTCCTCCTTCTTCTCCTCCTCCTTTGTATCCTCAGCAAGTCTCAAATTTACTGGAGGTATTTCATCAGTGTCATTGATATCATTTTTTTTCTGGGCTCTAGTCCTTGTTTTGGAGATACAATTTTTTTGGTTAATATTATTTTTATCGGTAGTTTTATTATGTACTGCTGCTTGACCATCAGCGTCATCCTTTCCTCTGCTAGGCAATTCTACTCGCCTTGAAGTTTCTTTAATAAATATCCTTTCCATTGCTTCTTATTCATCAACCGCTGAGGAAGATTTTTCATCAAGGAAGAAAATTATCCTCCCTCGAGTTTTTTGCGGCTCTAGAATTTAATTTATGGATAGAAAATTTTAATATTTCTCTTAAAAGAAAATTGCGGTGGATCTTTCAAAAATTGAAGTTGCATGAAGGGGAAGTATGATAGAGTCTGCATCACGAAGATCTAGATTATCTATTTCAGAGCGAAACTTTATTTTCCTGTACAAATAATCAGGAAACTTTCTTGCAATTATTCTGTGAAACAGAACAACCGAGTGGAGGATATGCCACTCATCCATTCTAAGTCAATGCAAATCTCTTAGTTTAGATGATACTCCCTTTTCTCTACCATACAAACCTACAATTAACCTCACATAGAGGTTCTGGATAAGTTGAATGCGGTATTTGTCTCGTTCTAGCAAAAATGGATCATAAACTACGTCCGCAAAATTGAAGTGAAAGAACACCAAAGAATCACAGAGAATTTTTTTAAAAGAGTCCGCAAGTAGATGTCTATATGTTTGAATATAAGTTTCAAATTTGCAAAGGTTTTCTTTATACACATACCTATGTACTCCGTAAACTTTGAATAAGTATCCAAAATTAGCCCCAAGTTCTTAGCGGAGTCAGTAATAACAAGTTTATCATTATTTAAAGCTAGATTAATGTTAGGCAGATGCAAACCCCGTGACCGAGTTTTGCCATAAAGGAAAACCTGGGACTTAGAGGGATTAAGATCCAGGCAATATCCTCGAGAAATCGAGAGAAGTGTCTGCAGATTTTGATTCAGCTGACTCGCCGACACGAAAAGTTGATCTGTCTTGAAGGATTTGCAGATCTGCGTATCATCTGCATGCAAATGAACATTACTAAGTTGCACGTAAAGTCCGTCGATTTTAATCTGATAGTCGAAAGGAATATGAGCTGGTGGCACCCTACATTAGAACGCCAATGGTCACGCCTGTTTTTGCCATATACTTCACCCCCTCGCTCCTCATACGGAAAGTGTCAGATTAAAAATGACGGACAATACTTGCCATCTGAGTATATAGTGTGAAAAGCAAAGGCTGCAAAATGGATCCCTGCGGAACTCCGAAAGACAGATGCTTTGAATTCGACACTTTGACATTGACCTTGACCCTTGACTTCTACCCTGTTGATAGTTTTCAACTAGATGGCAAGAGCATTCATCAAAGCCCAAAAATTTTAGGTTTATCAGAAGAAGATTTATTTTATCAAATGCTTTAGAGTAATCTAAAAGGATGGAGATAGTTAATTCATCATTTTCAATAACTTGGAATATCGTCTGTAACTTTCAAAAGCCCTGTTTAGCAACAGTATCCTGGTCGAAATCCAGACTGCACTGTTGGCAATAAATTATAATGTTGAACATAATTCCGTATTTGATCCTTAAGGATCCATTCCAGAATTTCGAATAGAGCAGGGAGAATACTGACTGGGCGTCAGTCCTTTAGCTCAACAGGGTTATTTACCTTGGGTAGGGGTACCACAAGGGAGCACTTCCATTTGTCGGGAAAGGTTGAAGTCTATGGAAAAGTTTACCAGTCAGGTATGGAAACAATAAAGCAGCATGTCGATGCCAGTTTCATCACTTCCGAAAGCCTTGCATCTTATTGAAAATAAAGCATTTGTAACTTAATCTATGGTAGTCATCACTTACTGCATGCGATTATTACGGTAAAAGGCCAGCAAATCCAGGCCTGGATCAACTTGAAGTATGTTGACAAAGTAGTTGTTTATATCATCTGCAGACCAACGACCGTTGGGAATTACCTTGTTACATTTTTCATAAACGTTCAGTTCCCTCATAAGTTTCCAGTTTTCTCTGGACCCGTTTATCCTTATTTGCCTCTCAAGATAACCTTTTTGCTCCCTTTCAATTGTCGCCACAACAAAATTTCTTAGCTGCCTGCAAGCTTCACAGTCTCTCGGTGATTTACTTTTTTTATAATATTTAGTTAGAGCTCTGCTTCTAAGTGACAATAAATAAATATATTAAGTTGGGAGTACCTAATCCAAGGAAGCTTTTTCTTGATAATAAAGGCTGATCATTTGGGAGCGTGAATTTAACATCAAAAAGTTCAATCAAAAAGTTTGTGAAAGCTTCTACTTTTGCATTTAAATTCGTTATGTAAAAGATTTTGTCAAATGGAACAGTCTGGAGATTTCCAAGGAAAACAGGCTTATTAAAGCCTTTAAAATCTGTATGAACATAAAAAAAGGTCTCTGGTTTGTTTATATTTAAGTCACATATAACAAAATAGTGATCCGAAAAGTTTGATTTTTGAACATTTACATTTAGAGAGCGAATTTACGCATTGTTTCAACATAGGAGACAAGCCCAAAAGCGTGTCCATAGCTAGTCCCCAGTGAGTACGTTAGTCTACAATTTGCTTTAAGCCAAAATATGTTAATTAAAATCCCCAATACAAATAGGATTATCACGTTTCGTCAGCAAAGTTGAAACGTTCATCTACCATATACCTATACTTCATACGTTTACCTGTTTATACTATGAACTTCCAAATCTTGAAAATCCGCATCGTCTATCGCCTGTTTTGGTTCAATATAGCTTTCATTTCTCTTTCTTATACAACATACTTTATAAGGAAAAAACTGGAAATGTCAAACTTAGTGGATGGAACAATTCTATCACTCTTCTTATTGTTATCTTAAAATAAGCCTCCTCAATTCGAATAAAATATAAACAGGGTGTAACAGGTTTGAGTACTCTAGCACTTTTTTATCTCTTGGCACACAGCGAACGGCAGCTTTTCATCTGGAGAACTGATAATTATCTCATACCTAGAAACCCATAGTCGACTATAGTTCACAATATTGCTCAATGGTATTCTTTTTTTATTACGGTTGATGTATGTGATCAACGTTAACGTTGAGGGCAATATAAAGCCCCTTTAAATAGGGATGAAAAGGAGACTATGTGACTACGAATATGATGATTTTGAGAAAAAATAAATAAATAATAATAATAATCTGGAATGTTTATCTTCGAAGCGGTCACAATCTCAATTCTACCACGAAAACTTCAACCAATGGAGTACGTCGTGTCTCGTGACTTAAAGTCTGCGAGTACTGAGGTAATGAATTCCGTAGGGCAGGAAATGCAGGGTGATGAAGGTGTGGAGTGCAAACTACCAAACAAAAAGGTCTATGGTGTAGCATTTTCAATTTATCTTCAAGTATGCTACTTTGTTTTGCTCTGGTGGATATGATTCCATATAGAACTATAAATAAATAAACGACTATCTTTTCTATGCCCAGATTTTATTACCTTGAGTACAGCCTTATACTAAAAGTTTTTTGGTTCAGGTTTGCAATTGTAGTTAATTGATCTGGGAAGGTTTGATTCAGTAACGCAGGACCCGCTGTTATTGATTAGAATCTTTTTCTTTAAGACCTGGCCCCCAATTCTCGAAAAATATCGCATACGAAACTTGATTCGAATTGGACTGACAGCAATGTAAATTAAATGAGAAGCGTTCGAAATCATTCCAAATTTCGCATGCGATATTTTTCAAGAATTGGGCCCCTGTTCTACTTTTTGATATAGGTTCTATAGGCCATTTTCAGCAGTCACTAGTTATCTCTGGAGTCATTCATACACAATCCACCTTTTAGTTCGTATTTTTGGGATGAAACTTAACACGCCCTTTTCTTAATTTTCATCATTGACAAAATTAGAAGTTTGACGTTGGAAGTCCACAATCCACCTTTTAGTTCGTATTTTTGGGATGAAACTTAACACGCCCTTTTCTTAATTTTCATCATTGACAAAATTAGAAGTTTGACCCC